AAGCAGACTCTCTCTTTCAAGTGCATCGTGTGTCGTGCTTTTCACCGGAGGACATTGAACTCTCTGTGCCGTCGTCCCGCGGGACGTTTTTCTTTTCTAATTTTGAACTGTCATCGACTGCGTCTCAGTGGCAACTGACGAACGTAAAACACCATCGTTCGCGCTCTCCGTCTGTTCGACGGAGTTCGATCATCGATTGAAGTTCGGCAACGGACAGTCTTACCTGTATTCAGCACCTATGGAAAGTGATCCATTCGAGGATCCACCTTATAGACGTTGTAGACGACGCGATTGAGAAACGCGTCGGATAAGAGGAAAAGGGGGAAACATAGACCGAACCCCCCTTGTGTATACAGAGTACAGTCGGAGTCGTGTTGACGACGTCATTTTTTCGCCCGGAGACTCTATCGTCGGTGATCCAAGGCGGTCGCGATATATTCTGATTGGCGCGGTGCGTGTTCCACGCGGGCCACGTGCGTTTTCTACGGACAATCGGTGGCGACGATAGAGAGAGCCTTCGCGGCGACGAACATTGAGCGTGCGCCGTCAAAGTCACGTGTCCACCGCCACGAAAATACACCTTTTTCCGTGTGTGGTGCGTGTCGAGATATCGTCAGGCAACCGTGAAAAAAGATCCTTTGACTTTCTTCAGTCGTCCAACGAACCTAACGCCGATTCGATCTTCCCGTTTCTCTGTTTCGCGATTCGAGTACGAGGAAACGGAATTAAGAGACTAAAACGTTTGTTCTATCTGTGCGTACGGTAAAGAGGGGGAGAGAGAAGAAAACGTTAAGAGAAAGAGATATAGGAAGCATATAGTAGAAAAAGTGGTAGTGCTTGATCTACGGACTGAATTGGTTCGATTACAGTGTCGACGATCGAGAAGAAATCGAGAAGTAAGATTGAAGAGACTTGGTGCACCTGCTCGAAGAAGAAATGGCGATCCCTTTCGCTTTACCATCCGACGACGAGGCGGAGGCCCAGGGACAACAGTTGGAGCAACTGATGCTCGACCTGTACGCCGTCTTGCAACAGGTCCTTCGAAGCAGGACAGCCCAGCATCCGTCGCGAAATCGTGAGTTGAACGATTTTTTACGACTCGTCCTCACCTACCTCGAGGTTTTCCTACGCGTCCTTGCACGGCTGTCGAACTACCCATTGCGATGAACGATCCCGATCCGATCTGTTTGCCCGTCGCGGCAAACGTCTTGAGTTCTGTCTACCTTAACCGAAACGAAATCACCGTTTCCAACCACCTTTAGAGCCTCTTTTGTGTGTGTACGTGTGTGTGATCCACGCCAACTTGGCGTCACGTGCTTCAATCGCGCTTCTTTTTTTTTTCTCCACTGTCTTTCTTTCCCCGTGTCTCTCTGGTTCTGTCTCCGTGGCTAAGATACAGATTGGGCTAGATACATTCTTACCATGGTCCTATTCCGACGGCTTTTCAGGAAGACGAAACAGAAGATTCGGGACCGTTTAGATGGAATTGCATGCGAATGACGATCTTCTGCGGGGGACGGTGGAACTAGTCGTGAAAAAAAAAAAAATCTCGAGAAATAATTTACTCGAATCCGTTGAGTCTGTAATATACTTAATGTAACAGAGGTTGTTCGTAGTATTTTTTTTTTTTTTTTTTTGATACGTAGATTAATCGACTGACTCCGTTGAAGCTCTTGCGCTTCGACATTAGACAGAGAGAAAGAGAGAGAACGAGAGATTGTACAGATTCAACAATGTTATACATTGAGTGAAAATGCTGTGAAACTGCTGTGAGAAAAAAGAAACAAACCGCTGTTATTATTCCTTTTGACTTTGTAATTATAAATTACCTAATTTATCTATTTATTTATTTATTTAGTTAGAAATGTAATTTAACACCTTTTTTTACCGCACTTTTCCTCCTTTTTCTGTTTGCACACTTTTGTATTATATAAACACTAACCACGAAATGCTGTTTTGTTACGATTCAATAAATTGTGCATACGTTTGAATTATTAATGGCTGCGACGCAATTAATTTCCACTTATCACACACGGGAGAGCCGCGCGAGCATGCTCGAGAGTAGGACACTCGACGGCACGCTGCGTATCGACTAGAGGTGCAACACGTGGTTGTCGCGCGCAACAACGCCGACACCAGTTTTCGCGTGGAACAACGCGCCCGATTTCCCCTTCCGCAGGTAAAATTCACTAGAATTATATTTTCTCATGAGTCGAAAAGAAAAATCACAAGTTTCTCCATTTTTCATCGGTTCATCGTTGTCAATCGTGGCGAATCGCGCGGTTCGCGGTTGAAATTACGTCTCGTGGAATCTGTAACAGTTCGCGTTGTAACTTTGACGAGAATTCGTGAAACAGGCGAAGCGTGTCACAGGTCGTTGACACGAGTGCCGGCTGTTGCACGATTTTGTCGAAAATCCTGATACATTTGACCGGCGGTCATTGTCCTGTGAGTCAGCGTCGAAAAATCTCGATCCATCGAGACGGTATCCCGACATCTTCTCACCGTGATTTCGCGGATACGGGAGAATAAGAGACATTGCTTCTCGCTTGATTAACTCGTTCTTTCTTCCTGATACTAACACGCGTTTCTGTTATTTTTCCTTACTAATTCGTAGTTGCTGTCAAATTTCCGTTTTTACTGAAATTTTTGAGAGATGGAAGTAGTTTTGTTTGGAAGATAACGGTTGCGATGGTGATCGCACTATTAAACCCTTTGCGCTTCGAGCACTTTCTTGTGAAAGTGAAATTTTTTAGAAGGGAACGCGCTTGGTTTTAGAAAAGAAGAAATTATAAATGTTTATGAATTTATTTTGCTGACTGACATATGAATGTGAGTGAAATGCAAAGGGTTGAAATGTCGAATGTGCTTCAAAATTCTTTAGAAGAATGTAGCACGATGGACGTAACTAAAAACGCGCTCGACGAATCACACATTTAACTCTGCGTTAAGCCTGGTGAATTTTGGTGACACTTTGAAAATTTAGAATTCTTATATTTTATTCGCATTTTTGTAAAATCTCAAAACCACCGAAATCTCGTGCAGGCTTTATTCGAATTTTATGAAATCCCAAAACCACTCAAATCTCACGAACGTTTAATTCGCATTTTTTAAGTCCCAAATCAGTGAAATCTGAAAATTCAAAATTAACAAGGTGAGACAAATTTCACGAGACCAGAATAGTTAACTATTTGCCACGTATTTTCTACCACGCCACATCTAACCTAACCATAACCTCGTTCTAAAAAAGTTCACACTGTCACTTGCATCCACTTTCAAAGCCGTCCATCGGCGTCTCGACGTTCCTCTCCGCAGTACAGTTCTCTTTCTTCCGAAAAGCGTCGGAAAACCCACGGGAGAAACCGAAAGGAGGGTCGAGAAGAGAGAGGAACTAGCGGGAGGCGTAAATTGCGGTAACTTATATTCGGCGCATAATGAAACGCGGCTTTACGAGGGTGCAGCGAGCGAAAGGGGGCGAGTATAACAGATGTAGCGTGGGTGTAGAGTCGAGAGTATGGCAGACGATGTCCGGCCATGACCCTGCACCGCTGCTCGAGCCTTCTTTACGGCGATAGAGAACGGGCCGGCCGGTCGGCAATCGACAGGAGAGTAGGAGGAGAGAGAGAGAGAGAGAGAGAGAGAAAACTGGCTGGCAGAAAGCGTGGAAGAGAGAGATGAGAAGAGCGATGGTCAGGCACACCGGAGTAAAACGCGCCATAAAACGCGATGCAACGGCTCGTTCCCCGAATCTTGGATGTCGATCGTTCACCAGAGATTGCACTATCGAACGTGAACCGCCATCGCGACGATTTGCTCGCTCTTCGTGCCGCGATCTATACGTTTATCTCGCGTACGAAATACACCGTCGATGGTTGAACTTGAAGAGGACACTTCTCGTCCCGTTCATAGCGAACGACCAGTTTCGACGGTGATAGGTTATTGCTCTGATACAGTCTGCCTGAAATCTGTTGGACGTTCAAGGCCACTCGGGTGGAAAATCTATCGGTGTCGATTAGATGATTCACGTTAGTATTTCTTGTACCTTTCTTTTCTTTTTTTTTTTTGCTCTTTCATCGATCGATTCGAATTGTAAATTAGACTTTTTGTTGTTGTAATTTATGGTTATTTTTGTGTTTTTAAGCAAGTTTTACGTTAGTACACGTACTAACTTGGTTCACGGTTAAGAAACAGTAGGAGGTTGCTAATTAATTCGAGAGGCAGAGCTTTAGCGTTGAATAATTCACGAAATATATTCGAGCGGCTGTGTAACGATAATTTTCGTAATACAACCGGCTATAAAACGTTGGTGATCGAAGGTCGATGCACTCCCGGCCGGCTCGAAATGCGCGATTAGCCGGGAGGAAACGTCGTGGGATAGCATTCTGAATGCATTTTGCCGCAGTTTCACGGCAATACGTCGCTAACGAGCCTTTGATCTCGCCGGTCGAAAGAAACCACAAAATTGCATCCGGTCGTCGGCCACTGTGTGTTATATACTGTTGTTTCCAAGTGACGCAACGTTCCTCGAAATGTTTTGCCGCTTACGTACGTGTGTCGTCTCCAGCTTTTCGCGTCTCTTCGATAAAACCCTCGTTAGAGAAAAGAAAGGAAAGAAGAAGCGAGAACTGCTTCGCCGAAGTGCTGTCTGATCGGGATTTTTCTCCAAATGTAAAAAATTCTCTCTCTCTCGTTACGAGGTGGAGTTACGCACGGGACCCGTTACTCTCGAAACGAGAATAGTTGGCTGTGGCCGCGTTGTGTGAGGGTCAATAACCATAGTTCGGTTTCGGAGAGAAGATGCAGAATCTGGCGGGCTACGAACGCTGTTGCATCGAGTCGGGGGCGGTTATTTATAGAAACAGCTGTGGCCAGTCCCGTTCGAGTCTTCTCCCGTGACATTTGCAGAAAACTTCCCCCTCGTCATCGTGCTCGCGTAAACGCGACCACGGTAATAACGATTACGCGCGTTACTCGATAACCCCTCGCGTCTTCTTTTTCCTTCTTTCTTTCTCGTCTGTCCCCTTTCACAGCTGTGTTTCTCTTTCTCCTTTCGTATGTCATCTGTAACAGTTTTATCTGCTCCATTTGGTATTACGTTTTAACCGTGGATAGCCTTTCGCGACGCGTCATCGAGTCGCATTTCCCACGAGTCGAACCGATATGTAAGAACGAATCGAACTGTCCCCCGCGATCGCTCTAATCAGAAGGCGTTTAATTTCTCGGTAAGAGAAAGATCGAGTGTCGTTCGTAAAACGATAGCCCCTCGACACTGAACTTCGTATTATGTTACTTTGTCGTAAAGCCTTGTCTGGTATACGGTGCACCGAATTTCCGAGAGAAATTCGGGGTTAACGTAGCGTTCCGTATATACCGGGAATAAGTCACCCCTTTTTGCGTTGCAATCTTACTTTCTTCTGTTTTCTTCTTTTTTTTTTTTTGTCGTTTTGTGAGGGTCGAGGGTTGTGGAAATTCGGTGAAAAGTTCGTGGGTCAAGTACGAAAGTGTAGCCATTTGTGGTTCTATAATTTTTTCTTTTTTTACTCTATCAGTGATAGATGAAAGTGGAAAATTAGCGGTGATCTAATATCTGGTGATAAAGAACCTCGCTCCAAAAGTCATACAGGTACTGGATCACTGCCTATTTTTCACTTCTGTCCATTTCTATTACGCCACTGCAAACACCTCTATTTAGCAACTGTAAAAGGAAAAGAATGACAGAGTCACGAAACTGTGCATCGATACACAAATGATCACATACCACACAGTAAAAATTGTCAGCACCAGTCAATAATTCTTCTTAAGCTACGAACTTTTATAACGACCTTCTTATTGCGTATATCGAAGGAATTTCAACTGTAGGTAACTCTCAATTTTTGCGTTTCATTAAAAAAAATTCTCGGTTACTCGGTGAACTTTTCCCGATTTAAATCTGCTAGTCGTTGACTGCGACTGTTGTATCAGTACAGCTGCACGATATTTCGATTATCTCAATTTCTCGATAAGATCGACAAAATTTCACTGGTAACGGTCTAAAGAACAAACTCTGTAATTTTGCGTTTGATTCGAGAAAAAGTT